ATGTGAATATGTTAGATCTGACTGAAAGTGTTTTTGTTTAGTTCTGAAATTAAAGTGAGAATTCTGAGATTTTCCGGAAAAAAAAGAGAATTTCTTTTAATCGTTTTTAGAAAATGATGCAGATTTCTTTCCTCTTTAAGGAACGTTTTGGGTTCACACGGGTTAAAGAGAAGTCTGTGTTTGCTCTGGATCAATAGGGTGATTGTTTTACACATAGTGAGCAACTCATTTCTCATCCATCCAAAAATCATCAACATCCAGGACTCTGAACTATGCAAATGATCCGTCCATTCAAAAAAAGGAGAGGAAAATAGTCAAAATAATTCTGGTGATCCATTTTGTACTTTGGGGACGATTGCCTCCCAATATCTCAGTGACTGCTAAACTGGGTGATCTAACTGGTGGCGTGTAATCTCCATGGACGACTATATTCTTTGCTTTCTATTTATTTCCATCAAAACCCAGTGTGTGCACGGCGACGCGGTCAAAAAACAGGGAGATCAATGATATGCTGTTGCTCCATTACGCCCCCTAGTGTTCAAAACTGGTAACATATAACCGTTGTGATGGGTGCAGCTGTACTCAAGTATGTTACTGTTATTGACTCAAAAACAGGTCAAATATATATGTTTTCTTCCAGTGTAATGTTAATTCAAATGTTTTTTAATCTTTGAAAACAATATTTTTCTGGGTTCATTCTATTAGATTTAGGAGGTGAGGAGAATTTTTCTAAGTTCCTTAAAGCATTTTTAACTGTGAAATCAGAAACAGATTATTTTCTTATTAGTTTAAAATTAAAAACAAAAAATCGAATTTGAGAAAAAAAACGTTTCGAGAATTTTTTTCTCTTATTTGTAAAAAAAAGGTAAACAAAAATATTATTTTCTGAGTTCATAATAAAACAGAAAAAACATCTATGAATACCATTTATTTTTAAATAAAAAGCTATGGCTTGTGGTTATTTTTGTTCATTTTTATTTTATGTCATGTATATAATAAAAAACGGTTTTGTGAGTTTTTGGTAAAGACAACAGTCATTTTCTTCCTTTTTTAAATCTGAAAACAGGTTTTAAAACCGCTTATTTATTTTGGGGTTATTGTAATTCTCACTTGGCCAATTTAAGAAGAAGTCCATCACTACGCCATGTTCAAAGTGAGACTAGAAGACGCGGTACACTCGATTAGATTTATAGCTGAAAGAAAGCTTGCATCTTGGGTTTAGAGTGCATGGAGAGAACATGAATATTGTTTGATATTTAAAACATGGAGCCTTTTGTGACGAATATATAATTATAATGTAATTCCTAAACACAGGAGAGCAAACTCTTTGGATCAGATTTCTGAAATGGATCACCAGATGTGGTTTTATCTTCCTCTCCTGAAATGTGTAGTCTGTATCCTGTTTGTGCTGCAGACTCACCTGAAGAGAAGACGCTCGTTAGACGGCGTAAGGTGTGTTTTAGCCACGTTGCATTACTCCACATCTTGATTGATTGACGCCTGTCGATCGATATAAACCCTCCGTTGTGTTTGTACTCAAAGCACCTCCTGCTCTGACTTCACCCTCTCTCCCCTTGTGTTTAGCATCTCAAATGTTTACATGTTCTTGTTGTTGTTGTTTATTTGTTCTCTCCTCATTCTGTTATCAACGTACAAACATATGTGCCATATTTGAGAAATAAATGATGGACTATTGAAAGAACCAGTCCTGTCGTTGTTTGAAGAATCTTCTGCTTTTGGGGGGTTTCCCCCTCTCTCCTGTGGTGTGTTATGTTTGGTGTTAGTGCATGTAAATGGTCTGCAGAGGCTAAAATCTGTTTTCTCTGGGATATGCAAATTAATAATAGAGCCCTTTTAACAGCCAACAACAATCGATTTGCTTGAAGTGTAGAAAACAACCCCACATTTGTATCTGCTACTCAACATTTTATATTTCTCCTTCTATAATCTTAGTTTATCTCTTGTGAAAACTGGGGACCTTTTACCTCTTTGGACCTCAATAGAGCGGTGCATGACGTATTTACCCTGAAGCAGGGGCGGATCTACGGGGGGCAAGGGGGGGCAGCTGCCCCCCCATCTTTTGTTTCCCTAAAACTGTACTAAAACAAACCTACACTATTTCCACAAGCTTCTCAAGCAACAAAACAAGCATTACATTAGTTAAAAGTGAATCATTTTAAATATCATTTTAGGCCCGTTAAAAACGCAGCTACGGCCCTGCATTAAACTGCGGAGCGGCGTTCACACAGACCGCGGCTCACACCGCTGCAGAGAGGGAGCGAGCTGTCCCAGCGCCTATGGATCAGCTTCCCCTGGGAGCATTTCCCTTTCCACTAGTTTTGTTTTTACTAAGGACGAGAGCTTGAAACTAAATATTTTAAAAAACGCTGCCGTTTGAATCGATAGCGTTTAACAGACGGGCGCTGTTTGGGGCGTTACGTTACAAAATACTACGCAGACAGCGCTAGCTGGGAGATCGATCACTTTGCTCAACTACGCGGTAGCCTACTATTAAATCCATGTAAACTACACATCACAGCAATGAGGCCAGATCAATGAAACCAGGATACATCCTTTACCGTAAAAACTGGATCCAAACACAGCTGCCTGTGTGCGCTTGATCAATACTTTCTGATGTTATATTTATGATATGCTACTTATTAGCTAGGCTACATGGCCCTAACGCGTAAAGTTATACAAGCATTTGTACCAGTGCTTTTCACAAGTAGACTCTTGCAGGCCAGAGTAGAGGAGTGATTCAACAACAACACAAACACATATCTGAGAAGTGATCAGGACGAACAGAAAGAGGAACAGGAAAAGAGAGATGAAGAGACCAGGAGGGTCAGAGCAGGAGGAAGAGGAGGAGATGAAGAGACCAGGAGGGTCAGAGCAGGAGGAAGAGGAGGAGATGAAGAGACCAGGAGGGTCAGAGCAGGAGGAGGAGATGAAGACATTAGTGAAGAAGAAGAAATGTATGTGAGGAATGAAGATGAAGTGTCAGAGAGAGGGACAGAGGCAGGGATCGGGAGGCAGATGAAACTCCAGCTGGACCACATGGTATGTTCTTATTCTCCTTACATATTCCATCACAGCAGCACAATCTAGCAGCTCTTAGTATTGACACATATTGATTGAAATGTGTTGCTGCACAGGTCACCTTTAGCTCTCTGAAGAAATGGGTGATTTCATTTGTGTACTTCATTATAAATTGAAATGTTGAGCTTGTCAATCTTAATCTGAAAATACAAAAACTGAAATATAGGTAAGAGAAGAAACTGACACTTTTGTGATGTAATTCCCTTAATGCAGATCACACACGGACTGATCCATTATTTTAATAGGAGGGTAAATGGTATGGCGTGACGGGGTTGAAACAAACTGAGGGACAATATTGCAATTTCATAGATAATTCAAGTATTTTTTCAGAATTGATTTTTGATCAGTTAAAGTTGACAAGCATGTGATTATATTAGCAGCAACATTTTGGGATAATTGGCCATTTTGATTTGTTTGATATTAAATTAATATGTAATAATGCTTAGTGAGGACATGCAAATATGTCTGTCTAATACTAAGAAAAACAATTTTTTTTAAAACAAAATATATATTTAGTTTTACATTGTAATGCAAAACAACCTGTTCCATTTATTAATTGCTTTAAAATACATTTTGTAGTTTCCTTTCATTTAAAATGGTTGAGGTAAGCTTGGGGGACTCAAAGGGCACCCGATTGTTTGTCTGAACACCTTGTTTCTCTTGTGCATTAAGAACACTTGTGTTCGGCCATGAATGAACAATAAATAGGTTATATACAGTATAAAATACCACGTACTGTCCGCCCTCCTATGCCACCGTGGCATGACCTCTTGCCCCCCCATGTAAAATGTTCTAGAACCGCCACTGCCCTGAAGGAAGCTGCTGGTTCCCTCGACAAAAAAGCAACAGGACTTCTCCAGAGCATTTTGCAAAATAGCTGGAAATAATGTCTGTGGAAAATGAACCTGTTTGATAAATGCACGTTCTGTTCAGCCAGATAATCTCCACATGTCTACTCTACTTTTATAATTTTCTAATCATAAATCTAATCTCCAGAAGCAAAATGCTAACGTGATGCTATAAAGGAACTACAGCCGAGTCCAGCAGCACGACTTCAACGTCACGCCAACTTCAGATCCATATTCAAACACACATATTCTAAATGGTTCGAGTTGAAGCGTTTGTTTGAACAGTCTGCAGGAGGCAGGGACTTGCTTTCAAGCAGAACAGAAACTAATTTAGAGGAGTGTTCACGTGTTCGGCGTAATGACGTACAACGTCCTCCACAACTTCTGTAGTCCTATTCAGCCACTTGGTAACAACCATCGTTTTTTTCAGACACGTCAACTCTTCAGAAATCACCAGTGGGGTCACTGCTGATGATTTAATGTCCTAGAACAAAACGTGATCCGTCTCTTCAATGTGTCTCAACCACAGACCTTATTTCAGATATTTTCCTAAACCCTATGGAGAGATCCCATTGGCTCTGAGACGAGGGAACCCGTAGTGGTGAAATGCTAACTCACCTCCGGGTTTTAGGACTCGTCACTGCACCACTCTATAATTCTCTAATTTGGGAATATACGCCATTAAATCACAATGTCCTCTGACATCATATGAGCTTTAAAGTGTCTCCTGCTTTGTCACCTCATGAAGAAAGACCCTCGTTATAACAGCGGGAAAATACCACATTTTGACTATTTCCTGATCTGTTTAGCTTGTAAACATTAATGTACAATAACCTATATGTATATGACTGATCACATAAAATAGAAAAGTAGTATATTTTAATCATTAATCATTAAAATAAATCTGAAATATTGAAGCAAATATATAATTTAATTACATTAAAAAAAGAAAAATACAATATAAATTGGTTTGTACTAAAAAGCAAGAGAAATATTAAATATAAATATTTATTCATTTTGTCATCACAATAAAATGTACCAAAAATTACCTTAATCATTAAACAAATATGTAACTAATTTATAATTATTTTTATATTTAATTGTATTGGTATAACTGTTTCAAAATGTATGAAAAATAGAGCCTGCTGAATTAAAAAAAATGCATTCAGTCGAATAAACCTGCTGTGTCATCTCTACCGAACATGCTCATGGACATTTAAACCCCTCCCGATTGACACACGGCTCGATCAATCACAGTGAAGCACCGGAGCCAGTCAGCCAATCACAATCATCCTCAGCGAGTTAGCTTGTTCTGCGGCTGAACGACATCTCACTCAGTAAATGTAAGTATAAATATCTTTATTTCTGGTTCATGTTCTTCATTATTAACATATTGACCAGGTGTGTGTTTAATCCAGGTGTGTGTGAGGTTAAAACGAGGCTCTGTGTGAGCTCGTGGAGCCGGAGAGAGGTTCATCTCGACAGGATGCAGAGTCATCTGTTTATCATGGAGCGTGGCGCGCTACAACCTGCCCTTATTATGGTCTCTGTTTAACACAGACTAATAAACCATGAGTAGCGCGTGTGAAAATAACATATGATTACCTGTAAATATTTCATATGTTTCTTTTAGCATTCTATTTTTCTTTGTTCTATATTATAATTTAGTAAATAATTCATTATAGGAGCCGTGTGCTTTTGGCTCTGCTTTATTTGTTATTTATTAAGAGCGCACCCACTCCCTGGAAGCCAATCATATAACAATAGCTATGTACACATCGTTATTGCATTTTATTGTAATTTTTCTATATTTCTTTTGGCTTTTGCAGTGTTTTGCATGTATTTGTATTGGTCCTTAATTGTTAATATGTTAATTACACAACACTCGCCGAACAATAACAACAACATTATTTGTTAGGTAACATAACTGAATAACTTAAAAGTAAAACAAAAAAACAGACAAAAAACGTATAAAAAGAAAACAATACAATAAAAACAAACATGTACTTTAAAAAAGTAGGGAAAAAGTCATATTAATATATATATATACAATACAATAATTTCCTCTACCTACTCCTCCTGCTCTCCCTCCTCCTCTCCCCCTCTTCCTCCTCTTCCTCCTCTCCCTCCTCCCCCTCTTCCCCCCCCTCCTCCTCTTCTTCCTCTTCCTCCCCTTCTCCCCCCCCCCCTCCTCCTCTTCCTCAGCATGGCGTCAGGTGCTCTGTTCCCCTCCATGGTCTCTGGCTCTCGAGGTTCTTCCAGTAAGTACCTGGTGGAGTTCAGAGCGGGGAAGATGACGATGAAGAGCAGCACGGTGACTCCGGACAAGAGGAAGGGTCAGGTTTACATCCAGCAGACGGACGACTCGCTCATCCACTTCTGCTGGAAGGACCGCACCACGGGGAACGTGGACGACGTACGTGTTGTTATACAGATCATATATTAACATCCCTTTTTTAAATAAAACATATCTCACCATGGGTTACAATACTTACAAAAACACGGACAACCATCAAAAACAAGACCAAACACATTTATTTGCATTATTTTATTTATTATATATACAAAAGTTTAATTTCTGGAACATACAGCTTGTTGTTTAAAAAGTTGTATTTTCATTCTCTGCTAGTGTTTCTGCACTAACTGTATTTGGCCACACAAGACAAAATGTAACTGAAATGAACCAATAGTAATAATAACACTCGCATATCAATATAAAACAAAACATTGGTTGCATGTAAATTATCTTGGATATTCAGTTCAATATATAAGAATATATACATACTGTGAGGGAAACTTCTGAAGCAATGGAGACTCAGAGAGACACGAGGAGAGCTGGAGCTTTGATGGAGTCAGGACTCAGAGAGACACGAGGAGAGCTGGAGCTCTGATGGAGTCAGGACTCAGAGAGACACGAGGAGAGCTGGAGCTCTGATGGAGTCAGGACTCAGAGAGACACGAGGAGAGCTGGAGCTCTGATGGAGTCAGGACTCAGAGAGACACGAGGAGAGCTGGAGCTCTGATGGAGTCAGGACTCAGAGAGACACGAGGAGAGCTGGAGCTCTGATGGAGTCAGGACTCAGAGAGACACGAGGAGAGCTGGAGCTTTGATGGAGTCAGGACTCAGAGAGACACGAGGAGAGCTGGAGCTTTGATGGAGTCAGGACTCAGAGAGACACGAGGAGAGCTGGAGCTCTGATGGAGTCAGGACTCAGAGAGACGAGGAGAGCTGGAGCTCTGATGGAGTCAGGACTCAGAGAGACACGAGGAGAGCTGGAGCTTTGATGGAGTCAGGACTCAGAGAGACACGAGGAGAGCTGGAGCTTTGATGGAGTCAGGACTCAGAGAGACACGAGGAGAGCTGGAGCTCTGATGGAGTCAGGACTCAGAGAGACGAGGAGAGCTGGAGCTTTGATGGAGTCAGGACTCAGAGAGACACGAGGAGAGCTGGAGCTTTGATGGAGTCAGGACTCAGAGAGACACGAGGAGAGCTGGAGCTTTGATGGAGTCAGGACTCAGAGAGACACGAGGAGAGCTGGAGCTTTGATGGAGTCAGGACTCAGAGACACACGAGGAGAGCTGGAGCTCTGATGGAGTCAGGACTCAGAGAGACACGAGGAGAACTGGAGCTTTGATGGAGTCAGGACTCAGAGACACGAGGAGAGCTGGAGCTCTGATGGAGTCAGGACTCAGAGAGACACGAGGAGAGCTGGAGCTTTGATGGAGTCAGGACTCAGAGAGACACGAGGAGAGCTGGAGCTCTGATGGAGTCAGGACTCAGAGAGACACGAGGAGAGCTGGAGCTCTGATGGAGTCAGGACTCAGAGAGACACGAGGAGAGCTGGAGCTTTGATGGCAAACACTGACGGTTTATTTGGAGCTTCAGCCGGAGAATTCACAAGACATGTCACAGGCCACGAGTTGACACAGGTTGAGATGCCACATCAATCCTGAAGAGCCCTCCTGTAGCTCCAGGTTTTAACTAGTTCAGAGTGTAATAATCAACATTCTTCAATAGATAGACTAAACAGCTGAGGACACTGAATCACATTTGTTGTTGCTTATGGCTCGGGGTCATCTACAGCCCGAGAAGGATGTGCTCCAGGTGTCCCACAACCAGGGCCGGCCCTAGACTTTTGGGGGCCCTAAGCGAGCTTTGGCTTGGGGGCCCCCCTCACTCTAGCGCGTTCTCACTACACACAACACAGAACCAACTTTTGTCTTATGATGTTAGCATAAGCACACAAATTGTATAAATAAGCATGTAAATATCGTGGTCCTCACCTCCTCTAGGGGGGGGGGTCTTCACCTCCTCTAGGGGGGCCCAGGGGCATGCTCCCCTGGGAAGATTTTTTTTTTTAAATATTGAAGTTAAAAGCATCAATCTGTTGCATTAAGAGATCTATGGATACATCTCTCAACACCCAGATGAAACAGAACTGTAAACAGATTTTTCTTTATGGATATTTTACAAATCACTTAAACTGTATTCTTGTTTTGTCATATAGTATTTCATAACTGTTTTTCATGTATTCTCTCTGGCTGTCCATCTCATAATGTTCACATAGAAACTGTCTGTCAATAGGAATATCAATCAGAAGAATTATATTTTCATGCAAAATCTGTCACAAAAAGAGGTTGCACATTTAAATTCAGGTGTTGTTATGGCAACGTCAGTGGCCCAACAGCCACATTTACTGCTGCAAATACGTTCAAACATGCTGTCGACACATTAAGCAGTGGCCACCATTTCAGCTGACTTTTTCTCAGAAATAATGTCACATAACATCCATATATTTCAGTGCTAGGTTGATGCTTAGCTAAGCTAACTATGAAACACTTTAACTGACAGGACTCCGGATCAACTGTGTGCTGTAAGGTAGCTTCTAGCTTCATGTCGAACAGTAAGTCAACATTTCCCAGAGAGCTTTCTTTGAAATCACCAGGTAACGCTAAAAAACATTACATTTAGATTGTATGACAAAGTGTTTATTTAATATCTCTGGCTAGCTATAGCTACTTGCTAACAGTTTAGCTTACCCCCGCGATTCAAAGTAACGTCAACGTGTAATGTATGCTTTGCTTACATGTTGACATAACTTGGAAGTTTACTGACATTTACACACCTTGTTTACCTGGCTCAGGTGGTGGCTCTGGGGTTGTTGTGTGAGCCACCACTTGAGAATTGTCGTCTTTTTTAAGAAATGTTTTTCTTATGTCCATCTTCAAAAACTCTGAGTCTGACTGACAGTTTATTTTAAACATTGTCACAGCTCACAGGATAGGTACCTGTCAGCCAATAAGAGAGACGTTTATTTCCATTCAACTCTCTGGTTGGTCTGGTGTCTTGCCTCTGTTGCATTCACTGAACATGGGAAATTACAATCCTGCTGTCCTCTCTTGTGTCATGATGAGGTTCAGGTAAAGCACGCTTAATGCATTATATTATTGACTCAATAATATAATACATGACTTTGAGAGTAGGCAATCTAGGCATATTAACAAAATTAATTAAACATATTTATCACGGCGACGGTGTACTGAGATTTATATTTTTATTTTCATTTTTTCATTTTTTTTCTTTCATTTTTTGCTAGGGGGCCCTTAGTGGCTGCGGGGCCCTAAGTGGCTGCGGGGCCCTTAGTGGCTGCAGGGCCCTAAGCGGTCGCTTAATGGGTCGGGCCGGCTCTGCCCACAACAATAACTATCTCTGACCGAGAGTTGCCCGGTCACAAACTGGTAACAACAACAAAATGCTAGGGCAGCCCCTCCTTAAGGGAGGTAACGGCTGCTCCAGGTTGGTCAGCTGCGTCAGAGGGCGAAGGGTAAACATGTATACAGAATTATTCCCTGACATTTTATTTATTTAAGATATGATATCCATTTTTTTCCAACTTACACTGTACTTCATGTGCAGTCCAAATGATCCTTAAATGACCAATTCCAATGTTCCCCCATGAATGTGTGTTTGAATATAAAGTGATTGTTTTTTAACTGTTTAATATTTCCTCTTCTCCTCCAGGACCTGATCATCTTCCCCGATGATTGTGAGT